CATATCCAAACACTGTTACGCCTACGAGAAAAGATTTATCAGAAACCAGAAAACATTGCTCAGAAACCAGAGTGAAGAAATTGGGGATTTTTTTCAATTGATTTGGGAAAGTGGGTCGGGTTTTGGTTCGACTCACGTCTCGGTATCGGTTTCGAATCATGGTTTGATGGTTATATCTCAAATTACATATTAAACCAATAAAACCAATCAAATTCGAATTTCGTGGGTATATAGATTGTGAACTCTTGTTTCGTGGACAAATAGACAGAGGTAAAGTTTATGGCTCTATATAAGATTATGTGATAGTTCTCATGGGGATACAGACTGTCGACCCTTAATTCAGAGTTATGTTCTAAGTGTTAGTTTATGCTTGAGTATTGTCATTATTTTCGTAATATATACATCTGACTGCATACTCAAAACAAGTCTCTATGACAACATGTGAATAGTCTGAAGTTAAACTATATGAATCTAGATATGCAACCGGACCACCATATTTTATTTACGAGATGGCCCAGATCAATCCTCCGAGAAACTGCTATGGCTCGGATGAGGGTTTTGTCAAATATTGACGCCATTCTTCTGGCATCCCTTTTTTCGATCTAAGCATCCTTATAGCTGCATTTGTTAATGGTATTGCAACAATGTCATAGTCTTTTGGTTCCTGCCATTACCAACAAATTGTCTTGATTCAACATTTCCTCATCAAAACAAGGTTTTGTTGCCTATGGACCGGGTAAGTTAAGCCATTGCAAATATGAGGAATACCTTCGGGGACTTGAGTAACTTCATGTGTGCTTCTTCTACTGTCTTCTGGCCTTTCTTTGAGTTACATCTTGAACATGCAGCTACCTATGTTACAAGAACAAATTAAAGAGAAAAAAATTTCACCAACCATCAACTTTTTTTGCTAAAGGATTTCACAACATAGATGCTACTTCAATATAAATCACACCAGATTTTGCCAGGTCCATTCTCCACCTCGAGAAATCGGGATCACATGATCAATGGTCAAGTTTTCACGGGAAGAACAATATCTATATCCGATATAACAAAAGTGTTGTCAGCAAGAATAATTTGATTGAGCAAACGCGAAACAAAAAAGACTGCTTGTGACTGGACATAGAATATTACTCACTGACAAGTGTAATCGTCACGCAGTAAAATGTTTTTACGACTCAGTGAGTTTTTCACTCTTCTTCGTTTGACAACCTGAAGCAGATGTGGAACCTGAAGAAATACAAGAAGCTTCCAATTGGCAAAAGAAGAAAAATAAAGAGATAAAACTAGTTGACTAAACTCATGTTCTACATACCCTTAACACAGCAGGTATATAGAATGAACCAGTAGGAGAATTAACAGTCTGATCATAATACTCCAGAACATCGGCCTAGAGAAGGCATTATCGAAAATAGAAAACTTGAATTAAAGGCTCTAATGGGTTTCCAACACAAAAAAGTATCAAAACGGGTTAACGCAATGGGCCTAACCTTATCCATGTACTCCAAACAGATTGCACGCTTCCAGCAGACCACATTGACCGGCCTACAGTGGTAGAGACTTCCAATTTAGACAACTGATTAAGGCTACAAAGACAGCATAGAGCCCACGATACTTGCAAATTTAAGAATAGAAAAAGGAACACAAAGTTGGACAAGGAGAGAAGCAATGGTTTGGTTATTACTGTTAAAACTTAAAACTAAGGAAGAATTAGCAAATGTTCTTACTATTAAGAGCAGTGAGTATAGTGTGAAACTAAAATATAAAATCGAGAGGAATCTTTAACAAACAAGTGTGATCAGAAAAGGACCTGTATGAAATGTCAAGAACCAAGCCTCTGAAGCAAGATAGATCATCCGTCTCTAACTCATCGTCGTCTCCGTCAAAATCCCACTCATCCCCGCCTTCGTCGCTACAAGGATTATAATCCAAATCGCGAATTTTATTATTCCTAGAAGGAAAGGCGTAAGAAGAGAAATCTCTAGCACGAAACTCTTCAAGCTTTAGTCGGCTCCGGCGCACACGAATCAACGGGGACCCACCGACCATGTGCCGAAATTGGCCTCTCGAATCAACACCAAACGACGATCCAAGCTTCAGTCTCGCAGAGAAATGTGCCATTTGAAACACTGATCCAAGTCTCTTGGATGGAAGATTATTATTAGACGAGAAGAAAAGAAAACATTTACAATTTGGACTGGAGAAGAGCCGTTAACCACAAATTGATTTCTATAGAAAATATCCGATTGTAACTCAAGTCTATGAAATGACGCATATGGCCCTCGATCCCTCTCCCATGATTTTGGAATTCGCAAATGATCGCACCAAAACATAGAACTAGCACTCAATTTCATTCATTTTTTGTTTCTCATGTTGACATATAGAAAACATGGATGATTATCTAATATAAAATATTAGGTACGTGTCAAACGCGG